GCTGGAGTGCAATGCGCGATCTCGGCTCACTGCAACCTCCGCCTCCTGGGCTCAGGCAGTTCTCCTGCCTCAGCCTCCTCTGAGTAGCTGGGATTACAGGCATGTGCCACCACGCCCAGCTAGTTTTTTGTATTTTTTAGTAGAGACGGGGTTTCACCATGTTGACCAGGATGGTCTCGATCTCTTGACCTCGTGATCCACCCGCCTCGGCCTCCCAAAGTGCTGGGATTACAGGCTTGAGCCACCGTGCCCGGCCCTTTTGTGTGTTTTTAAAAACACTGTCAGTAGACAGGTGAGACTCTGATATCACCAGAGCAGGGAGAGTTTTCAAGGACCAGCTTCTGTGAGACAAACCTTGCAAAGCAAGTACTAGACAGGACAGTCATTGTGTCACCCACCCCTGGAGTCATGTTCAGATGAAATGAACGAGGATGAGTTAACTCTTGTCTGCCTGGGTGCCATGAGCCAGGGGTCTCTGAGGCCAGTTGTTTGCAGGGACTTCCCACCTTCTCACTCTTTCCCCGTCTCGTTTTTATCTCCAGGGGGAGCTGACTATGACCAGCCACATGGAAAACTTACAGAATGCCCTGTACTTCGATATGGTGCCAGAGTCCTGGGCTAGACGAGCCTACCCTTCCACCGCAGGCCTGGCCGCCTGGCTCCTAGACCTCTTCAACAGAATTAAGGAGCTAGAGGCTTGGACGAGTGACTTTACAATGCCCTCCACTGTGTGGCTGGCAGGTTTCTTCAACCCCCAGTCCTTCCTGACTGCCGTCATGCAGTCCACGGCCCGCAGAAATGAGTGGCCACTGGACCAGATGGCCCTGCAGTGTGATGTGACAAAGAAGAACAGAGAAGAGTTTAGGAGTCCTCCTCGGGAAGGGGTCTACGTCCATGGCCTCTTCATGGAAGGCGCCCGCTGGGACACACAGGTAAAGCCTGGGATGAACCAAAGGGCATATTTTTGGGGGCTGATTAAATACACATTGCTTCTGTGAAGTCTGACCACTAAAAGAGATACCCCTGAATCTTTTTATCTAGATAACCTTTCTTTCTCTGAGGCCATAAAGCCATTTTTATCTAGCCAGCGGGGGTACAAAGAGCATAGGCTTTGCAGAGGGAGTAGAGCGGAGAGGTTAATAGCAAGGGCTTTGGAACCAGACTGGCTGGATCTGAGTCCCAGCACCATCATTTATTAACTCTGTGACTTGAGATATAGTTTCACCTTTCCAGACCTCACCTGTTGGATGGAAGAATAGTGTCATCATAAAAATTAAGTGAGTTACTATGTAAGACACCTGAACGGTGCCTGGCATATAGGCAGTGCTCAAAAAGTGTTGGAGTCAGCTATCTCTGCTGCTGCTGCTGTGTGTGTCTGGGGGATATTAGTTCACCTCCTTGGTCCACTTTCTTTATTCATGAGCTCTCAAAAGGGCAGGAATCTTCTGCCTTTCATGTTGTTGTATGTCGGCAAAGAGGAGCCAATAGGTATCGCTTAAAGTGGCATTTTGAAAGGACTCCTCATCAAAGGCTAATAACAACGTGAGTCACCATGAGATTGGAGAAGACGTTTTGTCACAGATAAGAAACTGGAAAACAAGCACAGATGTCTGGGATAAATGAAATGAACAAGAATGGATAACTCTAGAAGTGTACCCTTGTTGTACACAATCTGGAAAGAGTACATAGTCAAATATCCCACTTGACAGGTGACACTAAACTACTCTCAGCAGTCAAGATAAAGCTAATGGGGCAAAATCGTTAGAAGACCCAGAAGATCCCAGGAGGCCATGTGAATATGCACATAGAGATATACTTGGTTCAGTAGTACCCCAAAAAATTCACGTTTAGGCATAACCCCAGAATGAATATTTAGACATAAGGTATTTGATTAGTTAAGATGAGGTCATACTGGATTATCATGAACCCTAAATCCAATGACCAGTACTCTTATACAGACCACACAGATGGGCATAGGTATAGGAAAAATAGACACTGTAGATTATTAGAGGGTGGAGGGAGGAGTGGGGCTTAATAAAAACTACCTGTCCAGTCCTATGCTCACTAACTAGATGAGGATTCATTGAATCCATACTCCAAACCTCAGCATCACACATTTCCATGTAACAAATCTGCACATGTACCCCCTGTATCTAAGAGTTGAAATTTTTTAAGAAAGAATCTAAAAGAAAAAGGAGATGGAAAATTTTGTTGGGACATGTTTTATAATGGTTACCATTTTGTTAGATATAGCAAGTAACAGTCTCTTGGAGTTACTGTCAGCAGTAGGAAATGTATTCATTCATTCCATACAGGCTTGCAGTTAAACAAATTACATTAAACACACACACACACACACACACACACACACACACACACACAAAGACCATGTAGAGACACAGACGAGGATGCCCTATGAAGGTGGAGGCAGAGATTGCAGTGATGCATCTACAAGCCTAGGAATTCCAGGGATTGCCAGCAACCATCAGAAGCTAGGAAAGCTATGGGCATGGTTTCTGCCTCAGAACCTCCAGGAGGACCAACTCTGCCCACACTTTGACTTAGGACTTCTGGCCTCCAGAACTATGAGAGAATCTGTTGTTTCGAGCCATCAAGTTTGTGGCATTTTATTGCACCAGCCCTAGGAAACCTATCCAAGAGCCAACAGAACAGTAAAGCAGGACAATGTTCAGACAGCCTGCATCTAAGGTGCCTCTTCTCATGTTTTGTCCTCAGGCTGGGATCATTACAGAGGCAAAGCTGAAGGATCTGACACCCTCTATGCCTGTGATGTTCATCAAGGCCATTCCTGCAGACAAGCAGGATTGCCGCAGTGTCTATTGCTGTCCTGTGTACAAGACTAGTCAGCGGGGACCCACCTATGTGTGGACTTTCAACCTGAAGACTAAGGAAAACCCATCCAAGTGGGTTCTGGCTGGTGTGGCCTTGCTTCTCCAGATTTAGCTTCCTGCAGAGCCACTGAGGAAAGAAAAGGGCTGGGCTTGGAGGCTGCCCAGAGGGACAGGTGGGTGAAGGGTGACCGCAGACACTTAGAAAGATAACCAAGCATGAGCACTCACAATTCTGTAGAATTCCTCTAGGGAACTTGGAGAGATATGCCTAAAGTGAGGCTGAGCTGGAGGAATATGGACCCAGGAACTAGAAGAGGAGAATTTCATAATGCTAAACCTTTCTTAATAAAATGATTTACTCAACTGTGTCTGGCCCAGGATCTGAGAGCTGCTGAGTCACAAATGATCACGTAGAGACCAAGAGAAAGAAGCCACAAACACCTGGGCCCTGACCTTGTTACACATACTGTCCTAGGCACTCTTGCTCCAGGCTACTCTACTCAGTCCTTGGACCAGTGGCATTGGCGTCAGCCATGATCCGGAATCTCCATTTTACCAATCTCTCCAAGAAATGTGTATGCATGTTATAGTTTGAGAAACACGACCCTGGAGCAGGGTCACCACAATTTTTCTATAAAGAGTTAGTTAATACCTTATTATTTGCAGGCCACAATGCCTCCGTTTGAACTTTGCAACTTTGCCACGGTAGGACACCCATAAATGATGAGTAAATGAAGGAGTGTGACTGCATTCCAACAAACTTTATTTACAAAAACAAGCAATGGGCCATATTGCCGATCCCTGCTGCAGAGGATAGGGAGGTCGATACTGACATTTATCCTTCATTAATTCATGCATCCACTCAATACGTTTTAACCTAACACCTACTATTTGTTGTGGATACAACTGTGAACAAGAGGAAGTATCTCTGCCATTCTTTAAATCATTTCACAGGAAATGAAGAAGAAACCTTTAAAGTTTTTTAATCTAAAAGTCTTCTAGATTTATCTCTGTGGAACAAATTTTCACTGCAAGTCTGATGGGTTCCACCGTTTTGATGAGTTTTAAAAAGCTCTATGAGGCAGCTTATTTGTAAGAAAAGTATGGGAGGACCCAGTATTCCTTATGTGTCTGTTCCCACAGACACCTAATTTTTTGATTACTATTTAGAACAGTGGTTCTTAAATTTGAACAGGCATCAGAATCCCCTGGAGAGCTTGTTAAGACAAAGATTGCTGTGACCTGCCCTTCAGCATTTCTGATTCAGTAAGTTTAAACAAATTGCCCATGCTGCTGGTCCGGGACCAGTTTGAGAACCCATGATTTAAAACCTCAAATCCCATCATCCTATAAATCTCTGCCATCGAGAATATGGAATCTAATGCTAATTCCTCTGTAATTTTCCTGCTTTCTTCCTTGCGGTTCCTGCACCCCCTAAGTGAGGCCTTATTTCATATCAGCATGATGTAAGGGAGTTAATAAATTTTACTGCTGGAATCCAAGAACTCCAGCTTGGGTTTTGTCCCTCCTCTCCCATCAACTAGTAATGATCTGTTTCCAGGGAAGTAACTCCGTCCACATTGGCATTATCCTTCCTGGGCCTCACCCAGAGTAGATCAGGCAAAAAGGAGGAGGTGGAAGATGGCGGGGAATGGGGAAGTCTCACTCTACGGGCAGGACACTTTGAGGCATGTAACTTGTGGAGACAAGGACATTTGGACAGCTTAGATACATGTGTTAATAAAACTCTAGACAGTATTATAAATTAGATCAATACTATTGACTTCTTCCTAACACAGACAAAATGAGAGTATAATAAAGGTAATTTTAAAGCATAGAGCACTTTGGCAAAAATGATAGCCCATGTGGGATGCCAGGAGAAAGAGGGGCAGCTTGAAGCAAGAGATCAAGTGGAAGGTTGGTTCACAAAGAGGCCACCAAAAACAAAGTGACCTGAGATAAAGGCATTGCCAGCACTGGCCAGACTCTCATCCTCTGAACGTTAGGCTAGCACTTTCCTATTACTGTTCTGCTACACAATGAACTTGATAGGTTTAAAGGGGCTGATTTTGGAGCTCAACTGCCTAGGGTCCTCTATGAAATAATGTGCTTTGAAATACAGTCAAACACACAGTGAATACTTCAAACAAGATAGGAAGAGACTCTGCTAAGTTTATTTCAAACAAGGAACACTTGAAGTTAGTGTTTCACCCCATCACAAAGAACACACATGAGCTCACTGCTCCTCTTTGGGTCTCCCCTTCTCTCCTGGAACAGAAGACTTGCTCTAGAACCCACTTTAAGGGGCTGATCTCAGGTTCTTCCCATAAGCAGTGACTACAGCTAATCCCATTAAATGCCTCCCAGAAAGCACTTCTAAAACTGGATCTCCAATTTAGACTTTTTCCCCAATAAGTCCAAAGGAAGCATGAGTGGAAATATGAAGAGTTTTTCTCCTGAGGCAGAATCAAGAATTTAAGCCATTGTGAAATCCAATCCAAGTTATCCTCCAAGTCCAAAGCCATGTCCAGATTCTTTCCTCTCCAATCCATGAAAAAAGGAGCTATCAGGGGTATCCTCTTAGAGACATAATTATTCTTGACGGAGCTGAGTGTTGTTGTTTTTTTTTTTTTTAATGGGCTGGGAGATGGAAATGGGCAGACAGAGTATGGTGACCAGCTATTGAACGGGCTTCTTTCCTAGGTGGGATCTTTGATGTTTGTCAAGACTTGAGCTCCAGCTGAAACTTTTCCCACAATGGGAACACTTATAAGGTTTCTCTCCTGTGTGAACCCTCTGATGTCTATTAAAGTTTGATCTTTGAATGAAACTTTTCTCACAGATGGGACATTTATAGGGTTTCTCTCCCGTGTGGATTTTCTCATGGTGGCGCAATCCTGAGAAGTCACTGAAGCCTTTCCCACAGTAATCACATTTACAGGGCTTCTCTCCTGTGTGAGTTCTCTGATGCTTCACAAAGTCTGAACTCCGCAGAAAGGCTTTTTTGCAGATGGTACACTGAAAGTATGTCTCTCCGGTGTGAGTTCTTTGGTGAAAAACAAGCTGAGAATTCCTATAAAAAGTCTTCCCACACTCCCTACAGGTGGGGAGCTTCTGGGCCATGGGGGCTCTTGGCTGCCCCCTCTGGGAGGTCTCTCTCTTCTCCTCAAGCCACATGGTGGACACTTCTCCTGAATGAGGATTAGGCAAATGCTGACCGAGTGGTTTCTCAGAAATCCTTTCTTGAGAGAGCTGTTCCCCTGTTCCCTCATCCTGAATGTTCTGCAGAGCCTCAGGGAGATTCTCTCCTTCAAAGCACCCTGGCTCATCCTCACTAAAGAAGCCCCTCAAGGAAACCTGAGAAGGTACCTCTCCTGAGGCTTGACAGGAAGCGTGCAGAAGCTCCTGGTCTCTGTGATTTTCCAAGTTTAGGTTCTCCTTGTCATTCTCTTGTCTGTCCCCTAAAAGAAGAGAGACGATTTGAAATGGTTCAGGTGCTTTGCCCTGTTTTCTAACTCATCTGTCAAAGAGAAGGTCATCAAAAAACATTCTTTTTTTTTTTTTTTTTAAGGCATTAGTAAGAGGGCATTAGTAAGTGAAAAGAAAACTACCATATGGCCTGAATGCCGGAACTTACTTTCCCTGTCCTGGGTTCAGTGCTAACTGGCTCAGCTCTGGAGCTGAGGACTTTTAAGCAACAGAGGGGCACTCAGAGTGCTGTCCTGATCCCTCCATAAATAAGCCGCATGTATCTCTTAAGGCCCTGGAAAAAAAACAAGGATACTACTGCTTTTAAAATGATTTTATCTGATTATATAAAAAAGATAAATATGATTAAAAAAAAAACTGAACAGATAGAAACATATACAAAAGAAAACCAAATCTACCTCAACCTTACTACCCAGAGATAACAACTATGAGCATACATTTCCTTTCAGTGTTTTTAACCTATACGTATGCATGTATATGCTATTTTCTGACATAATTTGTGCCATATTGTATATACAGTTCTATATCCAGCTAGGCAGCATTTAATTGTAAATGGTGGTATTTATTAATCAATTTAATATGGAGTCTCCCTCTCCCATTCATAAGACACCCCAAATTTGTGAGATGCATTGTGTCATTTTACCACAGTCACAATGCAGTGAGGCTGTACTATAAAAGTAAACCCTTTGACCTGTGCTTGAATATAGGATTTACATGCACTTTATTAAATCACACTAACAACTGGAAGTTTGCTTTTCTCACCATAACTTGGGTTTTTGGTTATACTACTTAATGATGCATATAGAAAATGTTTATTTTGGTGGTAAGATTTTCAACTTTTATAAATTATTTTATCTGTATAGATCTAAAGATGCCATTTACCTTTCTCTTTCATATATTAGGGTCTTTTCAATTGTCTGCCAGGGATCTGGGCATCTTCTAGAGAACTAAATCCAAACTTGTTAGGTCAAAAAGCCTTAAATTGTCCCTGAATCTAAAAATAAAATTAAGCCTCAGAACATATTCCTCAAATGGGACAGGCACTTTCTCTTGTCTTTAAAAAAAAGCCTTTATAAATATCATTTTAAAAAGCTGAGCAATGGCCCATCAAGAAGATGTCACAATAAACACATAATTTGTTCTCCTACCATGGAAATCTAATTTGTTTTATTACGTTTTTGCTACTATAAATAATGCTGTGATCAGCATTTTTCTTCATAAGTTTTTGCCCACATTTCTCATCAATATCTCAAAGGAATTTCTCAAAGTAGAATTACTGTGTCAACTGGCATAAATATTAAGGCTCTTGACACCTACAGACAACCCAACTTCCAGAACAACTCTGCCATCCTCTCATGCGAAACTGGGCAGAGCTGGAAGTGGGTATTCAATACTTAAATATTGAATATTTTTAAACATATGCCATTTAGATGGAAGAAAAATGGTTTTTCATCATTTTAAATTTTACTTTTTAAGTTATAAAAGGATGAATCTTTATCACATTTATAAGCTATTTTTCATACTCAAAAACTGCTGCCCATATTTTACTGGGAAAGTACGTTTTTCTTATCAACTTGCTTTCACTCCTTCTGTATTAACAAAAATAATCATTTATCTGTCATGTTGATGGAAGTGTTTTTTACCAATTTAGTTACCCTAATTTGGTGGTGGGGTTTTGTTTTTTTTTTTTTTTCTTTTTGAGACAGAGTTTTGCTCTTGTTGCCCAGGCTGGAGTGCAATGGTGCGATCTCAGCTCACTGCAACCTCCACCTCCTGGGTTCAAGCAATTCTCCTGCCTCAGCCTCCTGAATAGCTGGGATTACAGGCATGCGCCACCACACCTGGTTAATTTTGTATTTTTAGTAGAGATGGGATTTCTCCATGTTGGTCAGGCTGTGGTCTTGAACTCCCAACCTCAGGTGATCTACCTGCCTCGACCTCCCAAAGTGCTGGGATTACAGGCGTGAGCCACTGTGCCAGCCATGATCATGTTAAATTCTTATACAGACCACCATCTCTTTCTAGACTCCCTTTTCTGTTCCACAGATCTGTGCATTTATTTTTATATCAGCATCACACCATTTTAATGATGTTTACCTTTATAATATAACAGACAATATTTTCAGATCTAACGCTCATGAAACATTCTTCTTACAAAACTTTTTTTTTAATGTTCTTGCATGTTATATTCTTCCAGATAACTACTTTAAAAACTTTAATCCTTTGGATTTTGATTAGAAGTGTTAAGTATATGGCTTTTTGAGACTGCCCCCTGCTGGCCTGTTTTAACTAGGAGCTGTTCTTCCATATGGTCAACTGTAAGAGCACATTCACTTGCTGCATGGACTTTTGCCCCGATCTGAGTCCAGATCTGGTAAAGTGGCAAACTGTTGAATTTTTCAAACCAGGCCTTTCCCGTCTGGTTATTGTGACTTCCACAATTATTCTAGGTCTCTTCCCTGCACACGTGGACTCCTGCACTGACTATCTGCAGGCTCCTCTTCTCCAAGTGTTCCCTTCCTATCTGTCCTACACTTTGCTGCCAGATTCATCTTCCTAAACCTCTTTCCACTTTTTTTTTTTTTCTGAGACAGAGTTTCATTATTGTTGCCCAGGCTGGAGTGCAATGGTGCAGTCTCAGCTCGCTGCAATCTCTGCCTCCCGAGTTCAAGCAATTCTCTTGCCTCAGCCTCCCGAGTAGCTGGGATTACAGGTGCCAACCATCACACCCAGCTAAGTTTTGTTTTGTTTTGTTTTGTTTTGTTTTGTTTTGTTTTGTTTTTCAGTGGAGATGGGAACCTATAATAGCTTTTTTTTTTTTTTTTTGCCTATCATAGGCAGGATGGCCCTTGTAGACTCCTCACATCTAGTAAAAGGCAGGATCTACTGGGACCATGTCAGCAGGTGGGATAAAGGAAAAATAAACAAACAATGAGTAGGAATACAGTGAGCTATATATTGCAAATAAGATTAGACTACTAGGAGTGATATGGGAAATCTCTGTACCTTCCACTCAATTCTACTATAAACCCAAAACTGCTCTAAAAAATATGTCTATCCAAAAAAAAAAAAAAAAAAAAAAATCCTATTGCAACAACCTCCAAAGCAGTATTTTTTCTGACTACATGGTAAGTTCTATGGACTAAATTGTGATCCCCCAAAATTCTTATGTTGAAGCCCTAGCCCCCAATATGATGGTATGTGGAGATGGGGCCTGGGACCGTTGGGAGGGCTTAGGTGTAGATGAGGTCCTAAGAGCAGAGTCCTCATGATGGGATTAGTTCCCTATCCCCCCTCTGTCTCTCTCACCTCCCCCTGCATCTCTCCCTTGCTCTCCCCCTCTCTTCTCCACTTCTCGCCAACCCCCCTCTCTGCTATGTGAAGATACAGCAAGAAAAGTGAGGTCAGCAAACCATGCTGGCACCCTGATCTTGGACTTCCCAACCTCCAGAAACGTGAGAAATTAATGTGTGTTGTTTAAGTAACTTAGTCTATGGTATTTTGTTACAGCAGCCCAAGCTACAGCAGTAATCAATATATTTACATAGAAACACAGTACACAGATACATATTTTAAACAATTATTTCCTGAAACACGACCTACCCCCTGCATCTGATATTTCCTATTCAATCTTGTTGCTTCTTTTTTTTTTTTTTTTTTTTTTGAGACGGAGTTTCGCTCTTGTTACCCAGGCTGGAGTGCAATGGCACGATCTCGGCTCACCGCAACCTCCGCCTCCTGGGTTCAAGCAATTCTCCTGCCTCAGCCTCTTGAGTAGCTGGGATTACAGGCATGCGCCACTATGCCCAGCTAATTTTTTGTATTTTTAGTAGAGACGGGGTTTCACCACGTTGACCGGGATGGTCTCGATCTCTTGACCTCGTGATCCACCCGCCTCGGCCTCCCAAAGTGCTGGGATTACAGGCTTGAGCCACCGCGCCCGGCCGGCTTCTTTTTTTTAATGCTGGTTGTAACTCTATCAAATGATTCCACAACTCACTAATTGGTTATGCAATGCAGTTTGAAAAAGACTGTTCCAGAAGAAATCGTTGTGAAAGCATGATAAATATGTTGCGTAAAATTAAAATCAAATATATCTCAACTAATAATTGCTCTGTGGCATATGAGCAAAAGAAAATAATTAATTAGATCCCACTGGGGAGAAAGAATGGCTTGCCCAACAATACCCATCCTTGGTCCTCTTCTTCCTCTGAGGTTCTGGGATTTACTGTATATATAAAAGTGTGTGTGCGTGCGTGTGTGTGTGTGTGTGTGTGTGTGTATAGGTTTCACAGTTAGGTTTCACATAACTTGAATGTTTTGGAAAAAGTGTAGAAAGCAAAGGTTGACTGCTGTTTTCCAAGAGCACAAGTTCAGATTTCTTCTTCTCCGGTCTTAAATTATTTATAAGAAGTATTTGTTGATGTTGCTGTTTAATAAATATTAGGTGCATAGGAATTAGATAAAACATGTTTTTCTGTTTGTTTTATGTCTAGATACTTTAATTTCTTGCTAGGAAGGGTAATAATGGCTGTGACATAATCCTTTGCAGTGAAATTCTACTCTATTTGTATTGGTCTCAATTTGTGTGAATCTTAACTCTTTCTGAGAAAGAACGCTAAAACAACAGACAAGATTAAAGGCAGCAGGTCTGACGTGTGGTCTTCCTTCCATGGTTAAGTATGTGTCAACAGCCCAACAGCCAGAGATAAGTAGACTCAATCGCAATATTCAAATCGAACCAATCAGATCATGGCTAGTTATAACAAACATAATGGAATATTCCCTCCCCCAACACACACTTCCTTCACCACCTCCCCAGTCACCTCCAATGTAATGACAGGCAGTCAGAAATGATTCCAGACCAATGAAAGATTACTCACCTATGCAGCTGGGTCTTGGGATCTTCTCATTGACATGAAGGTACAGTCCTGCCAGCTCTTCCCCATATTCTATTGAATTAGTCAGGTCAGGTTTGGAATGGGAAATGCCTGCTGTAGAAAGAAAGATGTATGGTGGGCCTTGATGAATGGGAAAGCTGGGAGCTCAAGCTGTGTCTTTCAAAGGAGCACCTTACGCATCAGGGAAAATATGAAGTCTCTGGACACTTGTAGAAACTCACCTTAGAACCGCGTGTGGAGCTTGTAAGACACCAGTACTCACAGGATGACCTTGACAGATGGTAAAGGCCACAAAAACAAGAGTCTAGGCAGGTGAACAGAAAGGTCTGTAGACTGCCTGGCAGGCTGGCGTAAGAATCATGACTGGCATGCCACTAATGGTTGGCTGACAAGGGTGGTTTATTACAAAAGAGCATGGACTCAGAGCCAGCCACAACTGAGTTCCATCATAACTCAGCCCACTTACGAGCTATGTGGCAGTGGCTAAGTATTTGATCTGATACTCACTTTCATCTGGCTTAAAATGAGAATACCATCATCCATTTCAGAGATTAAAGAAGTTACTCCATGCAACGTACCCACAAACAGTTCCTGGCACACTGAATACTTTCAATACAAAGAAGTTCTTACTATAATTCTATCTCCAATTTGCCCCAGTTCCCAATTATGCCTCTAATGATTTCCTTCATCTAGCAATTTTAAGTTCAGCAGATGTCTCTAAGAGTGCATAGAAAATGCCTGTTTTCCAGTACTTCCTTCTCCTTTCATAAGGCTAACCCACGCCCTCACCTCCTGAGACCATTTTCCCATAGGTCTCCAGCATGAGATCCCAGTATTGCTCCTTTTGAGTAGAATCCAGGTGTCTCCACTGTTCCTGGGGGGAAAAAAATACAGTACCATGACTCCAATGAGATACCATGACTCCAAATATCCAATGAGGGTATTTGAACCTGCCTTCCCTGCCTAAAGGAAAGCTGTGAAGAAAGAAATGTGCCATAGTATCCTGGCCATTGCAAGACCTAAGAAATCCCAGGAGAGTGGTACAAGGAATGAAGAGGCCAAAGGGAAAACAACAGTCTCTGCATCAGTATTTCTTTCCCTAATTAGAAAACGCCTAGACTTTACGTTCTGCATTTTTTCAGCTGAATTATTTAAAAATGGAGAACATACAGAGGACAGGAGCCTTTTCCATACTATTTTTTTTTAAACTCAAGTGCTTGTACTAGGGATCTTTGAACAGGAAGAGCCTGGTAGTCCCACTATTTAGTTAAAATCAGGAAATTCAAAAAGCAAAAGACAGAAGTTAGAAAGGAATCTGTTGGAAAAGCAACTGCAAATCAGTAAAATGTAGTTAGAGTCAACTGCATTGTAAGCTTTACCCTGAACATTGCTATGTTCAGAAAAGAGAGAGATGTTATAGCCATACTTGAAATCTCTTATAGTTCTACTCTTAAAGTCTTACATCAGATAGTAAAAAACTGGTGGGTTCTCTGGAGCAAGGTGTCCCCCGACAATCTCCAAAAGAAGGCCTGCTTTTCCTATGCAACAACAGACTGGAGACATAAAACTGGGAATACCATAAAGCTAGGGTCTGCTTTTGTGAATTCAGATTTCAATCTTCCACCAAGAAGTTGACTACTAGATGCTCAGATTGTAGAGCAGAGGGATCAGCAGCCCATTTTCTGGAGTCAGGCAGACTGAGTTTTAAGTCCCTACCTTGCCACTTTCTAGCTGTGTAACCTCGAGCAAGTTTCTTAACCTTCCGGAGTTTCAGGCCTCACCTAATGATGACACTAAACTCAAACAAGCGTTGGGAGGTTTGGGATAAATCATGCAAGTGTCACCTGTGTTCACTGCACACTGTACTTGTTTTATTCACAGAATGTATCTGCTTGTTAAATATTTATGTGTATGTACACGTGCATATGCACACATGTAAGTATTTGATTGATTGCTGCCTCTACTAGCAATGTAAGCTCCATGAGAAAAGGACTCTGTCTGTTATACTCTCCATTGTATAATACCTTCCCAGTTCCCAAGACTCTGCCCAGGACAGAAGAGGCACTCGATATATGTTGCTGGGGTGAAATAAAGCCCTTAGCAAACAGGTCCTTAGTAGGTAATATATATTATTACTATCACATGCAGCCTCCCAAACTCACCCCAAGGGTTTGCAGAGAGAATTAAGGGATTCTGCACCCTTTCAGAAACCCCAAAATTGACAGTCATGAATAGCCAGGCTTCAGAGAACAGAAATGAGGAGAGGAATTACTAAGTCATCCTCCTACTGTACACAATATACTATTCAGGGAAGGCTCTCTGTGCTATGGTTTGGCTTTGTGTCCCCACCCAAATCTCATCTTGTAGCTCCCATAATTCCCACGTGTTGTGAGAGGGACCCGGTGGGAGATAACTGAATCAAGTGGGCAGGTCTTTCCTGTGCTGGTCTCGTAAGAGTGAGTAAGACATTATCTGATGGCTTTAAAAACGGGAGTTTGCCTGCACAAGCTCTCTCTTTGCCTTCCCCCATCAACGTAAGACGTGACTTGCTCCTCCTTGCCTTCCACCATGATTGTGAGGCCTCCCCAGTCAATTGGGACTGTAAGTCCAATTAAACCTCTTTCTTTTGTAAATTGCTCAGTTTCAGATATGTCTTTATCAGCAGTGTGAAAACGGACTAATCTACTCTCAGTCCTAATCAAGTCTGCCCCCTAGCACATCAAAGGGAAGTAGAAATAGCTCAAGGAGAAAGGAGACACCAAAAAGTGTTTAATTAGCAGGTGCTAAGCCAAACAAACAAGCGAAAGAGAGTTTGGATGTTTTTGGGTGGAAGGGATAGAAAGCTGAAAAGTGACCTCATACTTAATTACATAGTCAACTATTTATTTATTTACTTATTGAGACAGAGTTTTGCTCTTGTTGCCCAGGTTGGAGTGCAATGGTGCGATCTTGGCTCACCGCAACTTCTAACCCTCAGGTTCAAGTGATTCTCCTACCTCAGCCTCCCGAATAGCTGAGATTACAGGCACCTGCCACCACGCCCAGTTAATTTTTTTGTATTTTTAGTAGAGACGGGGTTTCTCCATGTTGGTCAGGCTGGTCTCAAACTCCCAGCCTCAGGTGATCTGCCCACCTTGGCCTCCCAAAGTACTGGGATTACAGGCATGAGCCTCCCCACATGGCCTACAAAGTCAACTATTAATTATAACCACATTTTTAATGTGACTTTTAAATTTTTTAACTTTTAATGTATAAACAGCTAGCAGTTTATTCTTTTAATCTTCTGTGAATGCAGCTATTTCAACAAGCTCCTAAAAATAACCACTTGAGCAAACATTGCTGAATATAGGAGTTCTCGGTCTTTTTGGTCACAGTAACATCTACCTGGCTGCCTGGCTTGCTGACACAGGACCTATTCCATGAACAGCAGAACAGTAGCTACCAAGAAGAGTACAAGGCAGCAAAGGATACAGCCACCAAAATCAGCTCAGGAGCTGAAAAGTTGCTTCAGGAGCACTAACAGGGTACCTCCAGCTTAGACACAAATTTACTCAAAGAACCTCCGAGGTGGGCCGGGCGCGGTGGCTCACGCCTGTAATCCCAGCACTTTGGGAGGCCGAGGTGGGTGGATCACAAGGTCAAGAGATCGAGACCATCCTGGTCAACATGGTGAAACCCCGTCTCTACTAAAAATAGGAAAAATTAGATGGGCATGGTGGCATGTGCCTGTAATCCCAGCTAGTCAGGAGGCTGAGGCAGGAGAATTGCCTGAACCCAGGAGGCGGAGGTTGCGGTGAGCCGAGATCGCGCCATTGCACTCCAGCCTGGGTAACAAGAGTGAAACTCCGTCTCAAAAAAAAAAAAAAAAAAAAAAAAGAACCTCCGAGGAGCTGGGGACATTCAAATAAAATCTCCTACTGAAGAGGCAAGATACCAGTGGCAGCCAGCTTGCCTTTTCCTCTTCTTTGGAAGAGAAGGGAAAGCCTAACTTTCCATCCTGAAAGACACAAGCAAGGGATTTGATGGGAAAATTCTTTTTTGTGTGTGGAAGCAGCACCATCTTGTGGGTTTATGAGGTATTACCACAACTGACTTGCACTGAGTTACTTCCGTGTTCCTTTCCTTTAAGTTTGAAAATGCATTGCTGGAGTCTATGTGAGGTTCCGACTGAGCCATGGTTTCTACTAATGAAATACTACTGTGTAGTGGCAGTGATACCATATCATTATTCTGGCATTATTTATGAAGTTCCTCATTTACTTAAGAGATTAGAGAGAGTGACTAATTTAAAAATTCCCTTTACTTCCAGAGGATTCCATTAAATATCAAAGTCTTTCTGATGCAAATAACTGTTGCTAGTTTGGAGGGGATATTCAGATTGGGTAGGAATGACTTTTGTTTGTTTGGCTTGAATGGTTGCTAACTAAAATGTAGGGAAATACAGATACACACGTATATTTAAATACAGTTGTCAAAAACAAATTGGTGCTGATGAGGATTTTGAATCTTTTGACTTTAAGTTATCCAGAACAGGTGAGGATACTCTGTACATACTACAGAAACAACAATAATCCTCCAAGCCTGGTTGACGTATTTCACAGAATACCCAAATCTTTTTTACCTAGCAATGTCCTGCTTAAGAATCTGGTTTCTGAAGACCTTGAAAGCAGGCAGAAGGGTACCTCTGATTCACTAAAAAGGCATGTCTCTCCGCTGCCACCTCCCGATCCACCTTTCCCCAGAGTAAACTATGAAAATGGTATTCGAGTTTTTTATCTCTGAGCATGGAGAGCTGGAGCTCAGACCCTGGTCTGAAACACTGCATTAAGCACCACCTACTGCCTTCTCTGTTTTCATCTTCACTCTATGGTACATTGCACGCCAAGTCCCAAGAGTTCCCTCAGTGTTTCAAACATTTTAATTAGGTATACAGGTTCCTGAAAAAAAATTATTTTTACAAAATTCAACTTTTCAGAATTGTTAACTACATACCAAGATAAATCTATCCCAGAGACTTCTATGTACAGCAAAAATGAAGTATTAGGAGTTATTGGATTTACCTTCTGTCTGAAACAACTGAAAACGGGACAAAATGTATGAAACAATCGTTTTCAGACATTGCACATTACACAGAGCAGAGCAGAACAAGATCCCTGAACGTGGGAAAACAAATTCAGTGCGCTCTAGTTATCCAAACATACTGCCTAGACAGAGGGTCCGGGCAGCGGCACAGGAATGGGAACCCCGGCTGAGCCAGGGATCCTTCCCGAGATGAGCAAAAGGAGCTTAGAGTCTGAGAAGGCCAAGATGGTTAGAGCTGACAGGGTAGAAAAATCTGAGAGGAGGAAGCTGTGCAAACAGAAAGCTCCAGAGATCGACAGAGCGCCCCCTCCAAAGTCTGGGAAATAACCGCCCAAAAGAATCAGAGGAAACAATCCTCTAAGTTCACACAGTGCTGGAAATAGTTTATATTTCCACCAGGCAGAGTGGAAAACCTGGTATATGAAGGGGCATCAGACTACTCAGAATACTCCAAAGAGAAGTGCCTTGGCATGGAAAAAAATAATACTAGACTAAAGGTTTCTCTGGTGCCATATAACAAACTGTGTCCAAATAATTGCATCCTATAGAAAAGCTCAGGAACATTTATAGTAATACAAAAACATCTAGCACCCCACAAGGCAAAATTCACAATGTCTGATGTCCAATCAAAGATTACCAGGCATGGGCACAATAGTAAGACACTATCTCTACATAAAAATTTAAAAATTAGCCAAGCATTGTAGCACATGCCTATAATTCTAGCTACTCAGGAGGCTGAGGCAGGAGGATGGTTTGAGCCCAGGAGGTCAAGACTGCAATGAGCTGATTACACTGCTGCACTCCAGCCTGGGTGACAAAGTGAGACCCTGTCTCAAAACGAACAAACAAAAAAGACAAAAATTACCAGGCACACAAGCAGGAAAACAATCTCGTAATGTGAATAATCAATCTATCAAAACTGACCCAGAACCAATACAGGTAGTAATCCATAGATAAGGATATGAATACAAACGTAACTATATTCCATATATTAAAGAAGCTAGAGGAAAGATTGAACACATTAAGTATAGACATGAAAGATAAAATAAAGCCCTAAATCAAACTTCCAGAGGTGAAAAATTTATCTAAAATGAAAAATAGACTGGATGAGATTAACAGCAGATTAGATGCTGTAAGAAGAAAAGATTAATGAACTTGAAGACATAAAAATAGAAACTGTCCTAAATGAAACACCAAGACTTCAAAAACAGGATGAAAAATATACTGGATGAGATTAATAGCAGATCAGATGCTATAAAAAAAAAAAAAAAGGTAAATGAACTTGAAGACATAAAAATATAATTTTTCAAAAAAAAATCAGTAAGCTGTGGGACAACTTGAAGAGCTCTGATACATATATATACATTATCATTATACACATTCCACAGATATTATTTCCCAAGTCCTTAAAGGAGAGAAGAAATAAGCAAGACAGAAAAAAAAATGCTTTAGAAATAATGGCCAAAAATTTTTCCAGTTTAATGAAAACTATATACCCACAGATCTAAGAAGCTCAATGAATCCCAACTACATGAAATGTGAAAATTATTCCAAGGCACATCAAAATCAAACTGTTTAAAAAAATGAGAAAGAAGCCATATATATACACATTATATGCATAAGAACAAAGATAAGAATACATTTGGCATGATTCTATTTTTACAAAACTCTAGAAAAAGTAAACTAACATATGGTGACAGCAAATCAGAGGTTTCCTCAGGATGGGGAATGGGTGAAGAGAGGCAGGAGAAAGAGATCACGAAAAGTAGAAAGTTTCCCCTGCACCTTTTTTGTACCTCAGCTCACCTGAGGTGCTGCTGGGAGCAGTGAGGTTCCGAGGTCCTGGTCTCTGATCAGCCTTTCCGCCAATCCGGCAGGCTGGGAGGCAGCCAGGGCTGAAGTGAGGAGAGGAAGTTTTCAGAATCTGGTTGTCTTCCTTAACCACTCCCCAGAGGCAGCAGGATAACATTCTTCACAAATCAGAACAATATCTGTACTGCCATCTATATTTCAAGACTTGTGTTTATCTTCCTGACAAACTCCAACTCCTTCCAACCTTCCAGTCTCACCCATATTTTCTCCCACCTCCTTCCTCTGAGCCAAAATCCAGATGGTCTGGCCCAGTCATAAAGCAGTTTAACACACAGACTTTGCCTCTCCAAACAAGATTGGTTTATTTAGGTCTACCCTGTGTGCAAACCTCTCAGGGATACCCCAATCTGAGCATCATACCATTTCAACTCACACTTAGGCCTACTAATCACAGTCCCAAAATCTCTCCAAGAGAATACCATACAGCACCATCCTCACCTAATTCTGCTTCTGCATCAGATTCCTCTTTCACAATGTGGCTCAGAAGCTCCCCAGGCCCCGAGGATGAATTCTCAACTCCCAGCTCCTGAGGCACCACTTCAAGATGGGGCTCCACTTCCCCCACTTGGCTGCTTTGAGATTCCATCTTCTCTGATAAGATGTCCTGTCCTAGGACCTGGATACTGATCTAGAGACCATATGTTAATTAATAATTACTTAAGAATCCAGAGTACGGATCTCTAAAAGATACAAAGCTTACCCTCTACAACATAACATAAGACAGTGTCTAGGGATGTGGAGTAGAGAAAGAGAAAACCAGCTTTTACTTCTAGTCCAGCAGGAACCAGGGAAAGAAATATCCCAAAGACACCAAAAGCTGAGGCCTGAACCAGGAGTGGGAGACCTTCAAGACATCCCATGAATGTTGTGCCTCTACTGGACATACCCCACCAGTTAAAACTCAGGTATCTTTTGAATAACTTCTCAAATATTCTAGCCTGAAAGTGGAATGTGCTGGGAGACTTTACCCTCAATCCCCAATAGCTAAAAGGTGTTCAGAGTCAGAGAGTATTAGAATTAGGTGAGGTATGGGGGGGACCCAGATGTGGTATAACAAGAAATATACATTTAGTCTTTGTCCCCAGTTCCTGCAAAGAGCTCCTAAAGCCCTGGTAATTTCCTGAGTGACAGGAGTGAAAGAAGAGCCTCTGTTATTCATAATGAGCCCTTCTCAACCACACCTGAATTTATGCTAGGCTCCTAGACAGCTTCAGTATGGGGGCTGGTTGCCAGAGGAACCAACCAAGAGATTAAAGGGTTGGAACTTGGCCGGGCACGGTGGCTCAAGCCTGTAATCCCAGCACTTTGGGAGGCCGAGGCGGGTGGATCACGAGGTCAAGAGATCGAGACCATCCTGGTCAACATGGTGAAACCCCGTCTCTACTAAAAACACAAAAAAGTAGCTGGGCATGGTGGCGCTTGCCTGTAATCCCAGCTACTCAGGAGGCTGAGGCAGGAGAATTGCCTGAACCCAGGAGGCGGAGGTTGCGGTGAGCCGAGATCGCGCCATTGCACTCCAGCCTGGGTAATAAGAGCAAAACTCTGTCTCAAAAAAAAAAAAAAAAAGGGTTGGAACTTCCAGTCTCTCCCCACATCTTCTGAGGAGGGGAGGGCAGCTGGAGATACTCAATCACCAATGGCAAATGATTACATCAAGTGTGCCAAAGTAGTGAAGCCTCCATAACAATCCCTAAACCATGGGGTTCAGGAAGCTTCCAAATGGTTGACCTCATTGAGGTACTGGTAATGTAGCATGCCAGGATAGGCAGGGAAGCTCCATACCCTTTCCCCTACACCTTGCTGTACGAAGCTCTTCTCTCTGGCTGTTAGTGAGTTAAATCCTTTATGGTAAGTCAGTAATACTAAGTAAAATCCTTCTCCAAATTCTATAAGTCATTCTAAGTAATTATCAAACTTGAAGAGAAGATGGTGGGAACCTCCGAATGTATAGCCAGTTTGTCAGAAGTACAGGTAGCCCCTGGCACTTGTGATTGGCATCTGAGAGCAGGAGTAGCCGTCTCGGATTGCGCTCTGAACCTGTGGAGTTGTGCTGACTCCAGACGGTTAGCTTCAGAACTGAATGGCTGAGCACTCTAGTGGTGTTAAGAGAATCAGAGAATTGGCCATTGGTATGAAAAGCCCCACCCAGTTGGTGTCATAAGTGGTATCAGAAAAAAGACAACACACTTGATAGGACCAAAGAGGAGCTCTATTTCACTCCCAGATCATAATACCCTCTGCTTACCCATTGCCACAGTCTCTGGGGGTCCCCCTTCAAACTCTCCACAAGCGTCACTGCCTCTTCTCCACTTCCTGGACACTGTTTCCGCACCCACATCTGGATCTCCCCAGGCAGGATGGTCAGAAACTGCTCCAACATGAGGAGCTCGAGGATCTGCTCTTTGGTGTGAACCTCTGGCTGTAGCCACTGGAAACAGAGCTTCCGAAGTTGCTTCAAGGTCTCATGAGGCCCAGACATCACCTGGTAGCGGAACTGCCTGAAAAGCTGGCGTGCAGTCTCAGGGCTGGAGAGTTCCTCTTGAAGGGCAGCATCTGATCCAGAGAACTGGGAGTCCTCGGCCTTCGCCAGTGATGGCAGCAGGCCTAGGGCCTGCCCCAGGTCAATGGGCATTGTCCAGCCTGGCAAGTCCTTTTAAGTAAAGTGCTTCTGAAGTGGAACTGTCTCTGGAAAGAACTAGGTCCTCACCAGGAATGAGACTAAAAGGAATGAGATTGAGTTAGGTATACACAGGAGGGGGACACATTTCCAGAAAAAACAAATTCATATGCCCTACCCAAGAAGCCTTGGAGTCAACTATGGAGCTTTTGAAATTGCTCAATGGATACATGATTCTATTTTGAAAGATTATAAACTTGAAGCCACAAAGCAAACTACTGATACCATACCATACATAAACAGCCACAATCTCCCTGCCCATTTTCGAATGCTCTTTCTTGGTCTTCAAATGCCCAAACAAAATGAAGAGTAAAATGCGTCATAAGAAGCATTTTCATTACAGATTTGCAGGTAAAAGGCTCTTCTACAGAACACTTCTACATCTTCATCTATATATCTGCATTCTAAAAAATGAAGCTGGAAAAAGATGTTAGTGCCCCAGGAATAAAAGCTAATGTTGAAACATTCAGACGCTTTCCTAATAAATAGAAAGTTAAAAATAACAAGTCTTCCCAAAAAGGTATAATGAAATTTCCAAGAGACCTCTTTTGAGTACCATATTGAAACAGGTCTGTTTGAGAATCTGTGAAAAAAAACAAGTATCATACCTGACACTTTCAAGCTCGGGGTTAAAGAGAATTGAGAAGACTAACTACCTTGAAAATACTCCTATAGCCTTGATATAAATAATCACTATTTTATGTGAACAGTATCAAAATTTAGAAGAGCACAACTAAGACAGAAGGAGAAATATTAAATGACAAAATATTGTTATTTTAAACGGATCATCCACTATTTCTAGTTAACTTTCTTGCAAGTAATCATAATACAGGATTATTGGGTAAATCCTTAAATGTTATGAAGAATTTGGTGGTCATCATTTCTCCCTACGACTAATCACCACAATAAATTAAAAAATACCCACTGACTTGGGGATCCAGCTTAGAGATCAGTACAATACTCCAGCTTTTTGTAGCTGCTTATTTCTTAAGGCGTAGGAAACAATGTCTTCATCCTTACCATTTCACCCAAATAATTTATCCTAATAGGAAAATCATTTAAAAACTAAAACAAACAAACAATACCAAATTTTTTCATTTTTCCTTTTTTTTCTTTGAGACAGAGTCTCACTCTTTTGCCCGGGCTGGAGTGCAGTGGTGTGATCTCAGCTAGCTGCAACCTCTGCCTCCCGGATTCAAAGGATTCTCCTACCTCAGTCTCCGAATAGCTGGGACTACAGGTGCCCACCACCATGCCCAGCTAATGTTTGTATTTTTAGTAGAGATGGGGTTTCACCCTGTTAGCCAGGATGGTCTCAATCTCCTGACCTCGTGATCCACCCACCTCAGCCTCCCAAAACACCATATTTATTTATTTTTTTTTTTAGACTGAGTTTCGCTTTTGTTACCCAGGCTGGAGTGCAATGGCACGATCTCAGCTCACCGCAACCTCCACCTCCCGGGTTCAGGCAATTCTCCTGCCTCAGCCTCCTGAGTAGCCGGGATTACAGGCATGTACCACCATGCCCAGCTAATTTTTTGTATTTTTAGTAGAGATGGGGTTTCACCGTGTTGACCAGGACGGTCTTGATCTCTTGACCTCGTGATCCACCCGCCTCAGCTTCCCAAAGTGCTAGGATTACAGGCTTGAGCCACCGCGCCCGGCCTCCAAAACACCAAATTTTTCCAAGGGCCAAGAAACGAAACAGTGAGGTCAAAAGAATTATAGTTGACCTTTGCATAATGTAGGAGTTAGGGGTGCCAACCCCCACATAGTAGAAAATCCATATATAGCTTCTGATTCCCCAAAAGCTTAACAGCCTCCTGTTGACTGATGCTTTAAATAGTTAACATACATTTTGCATGTTACTGTATTTTTCTGATAAAATAAGTTAGAGAAAATATTATTAAGAAAATTAGGCCGGGCGCGGTGGCTCACACCTGTAATCCCAGCACTTTGGGAGGCCGAGGCGGGTGGATCACGAGGTCAAGAGATCGAGACCATCCTGGTCAACATGGTGAAACCCCATCTCTACTAAAAATACAAAAAATTAGCTGGGAATGGTGGCGTGTGCCTGTAATCCCAGCTACTCAGGAGGCTGAGGCAGGAGAATTGCCTGAACCCAGGAGGCGGAGGTTGCGGTGAGCCCAGATCGCACCATTGCACTCCAGCCTGGGTAACAAGAGCAAAACTCCGTCTCAAAAAAAAAAGAAAGAAAATTACAAGGAAGAGAAACTACATTTACTATCCACTAACTGGAAGTCAATCACCACAAAGGCCGTCATCTTCACCATCTTCACACTGAGTGGCCTGAAGAGGACAAGGAACAGGAGGAGGAGAAGGAAGGGTTGGTCTTGCAGTCTCAGGAGTCACAGAAGCAGACAAAAATCCATGTATAAGGCCGGGTGCGGTGGCTCAAGCCTGTAATCCCAGCACTTTGGGAGGCCGAGGCAGGTGGATCACAAGGTCAAGAGATCGAGACCATCCTGGTCAACATGGTGAAACCCCGTCTCTACTCAAAATACAAAACATTAGCTGGGCATGGTGGCGCGTGCCTGTAATCCCAGCTACCCAGGAGGCTGAGGCAGGAGAATTGCCTGAACCCAGGAGGCGGAGGTTGCGGTGAGCCGAGATCGCGCCATTGCACTCCAGCCTGGGTAACGAGTGAAACTCCGTCTCAAAAAATAAAAAATAAAAAATTTAAAAAATTTTAAGCCGGGCGCGGTGGCTCAAGCCTGTAATCCCAGCACTTTGGGAGGCCAAGGCGGGTGGATCACGAGGTCAAGAGATCGAGACCATCCTGGTCAACACGGTGAAACCCCGTCTCTACTAAAAATACAAAAAATTAGCTGGGCATAGTGGCGCGTGCCTGTAATCCCAGCTACTCAGGAGGCTGAGGCAGGAGAATTGCTTGAACCCAGGAGGCGGAGGTTGCGGTGAGCCGAGATCGCGCCATTGCACTCTAGCCTGGGTAACAAGAGTAAAACTCCGTCTCAAAAAAAAAAAAAAAATTTTAAAAAATCCATGTATAAATGGATCCCTGCAGTTCAACCCTGTGTTAAGGGTCAACCGTAACCCAATACCAAATTTTTTTATGTGGTCCTCATTATATTTATTTTTTGCTTAAAAAGAAACTCAGGCCAGGTGTGGTGGCTCACGCTTGTAATCCCAGCACTTTGGAAGGTCGCAGTGGGAGGATCACCTGAGGTCAGGAGTTCGAGACCACCCTGGCCAAGATGGCAAAATCCTGTCTCTACTAAAAATACAAAAATTAGCAGGCCATGGTGGTGTACACCTGTATCCCAGCTACTTGAGAGGCTGAGGCAGGAGAATAGCTTGAACCTGGGAGACGGAGGTTCCGGTGAGTTGAGATTGCACCACTGCACTCCAGCCTGGGAGACAGAGCACGACTCCATCTCCAAAATAAAAAAAAGTCAGTAAAGGCAGAAAATCTGAACACTATCAACCGACTTGCTCTAATTGACTTTACAAGAACTGTGAAGTATATATTCATTTCAAGTGCAAAAATGATATTCATCAAAACAGACTATGTGTATAATTTTCAAATGATTTATACCTTAAAGTTAGCTCTAAAAAATATTACACAAGGTAGTATTGCTAAAAAGCCATTAAAGCAATACCAAAAAAAAAAAAAAAAAAAAACAACCCACCACTGACAAACGCAAAATCTGATAGAAAAGGAACACAAGAGAAACAAAAACCAGAAAGGTCAAATGGAAAACTTTAGAGGTTCCTGGGTTGGAATATATTCTCTGATCACAGTGCAATTAAATTAGAAATCAGTAAGGAGATAACTAGAAAATCCAAATTTATGGAAATTATTAAATAACGTTGTTAACTAACCCATAGTCAAAGAAAAAACTCACAAAGGAAATTAAAATATGTTTTCATACTGAGTGATAATAAAAACAGCATATCAAACCACCAGGAAAGCAGCTGAAGCACTGCCCACAGGTAAACCTGCAGTTTCAAGTAACATTTTAAAAAAGGAATATATTTTTTTAAATCCTTCACTTTGTAAATCCAACCTGCTTGGCTCAAGAGTTTCAAATTACAAGTGGCAACATTTTAGATAGAAAGATACTAACCTGTAAACTTATTCCAATTTGTTTCCTAAATTAAGATAGCACTTTAGATACTACTTAAGTGAAATGACATTTTGGGAAAACTACAGATTTTATACAATATTTAAATCTTGTTTTAGTAATATTATGCTCCCAGGTAACATAGTAAGAAAAATGTCTCGGCTGTTTAAAATTCAATTACTGGCCGGGCGTTGTGGCTCACGCCTGTAATCCCAGCACTTTGGGAGGCCAAGGCGGGTGGATCACGAGGTCAAGAGATCGAGAACATCTGGTCAACATGGTGAAACCCCGTCTCTACTAAAAACACAAAAAATTAGCTGGGCATGGTGGCACGTGCCTGTAGTCCCAGCTACTAGGGAGGCTGAGGCAGGAAAATTGCCTGAACCCAGGAGGCGGAGGTTTCAGTGAGCCGAGATCGCGCCATTGCATTCCAGCCTGGGTAACAAGAGCGAAACTCCGTCTCAAAAAAAAAAAAAAAATTAAATTAAATTACTTTAGAGAGTATTAAAATTGTTTAATAGCGTTTACATCCCAATGACCTCATGAGGACTTGCCCCCATTAGTTATGAAAAAAATTAAAGTTATCCCTTACACCTGTTATTAAGCCTTTAACAAACAGAATGAATTTTTAAATGTGCATCCTAGGTAAGTATACTTAATATATACACAGTTACACACATGGTTACATATATAAGTAACCATTTGTTAAGCACATACTATGCATCGGCTCATTATTAGGCCCAGCTCATGTATTTCTAATTGTCACAATCGTCCTGGTGTACAACTCAGGAACCTCTGAGGCTCACAAGGCGCAGCCAGATTAAAACCCAGGAAGATCTAATGCCTTTGCTTTGGGAAGAACTGCCAACGTCTGGTGATTTGTGGGGGCGTTTTGTGGTTGTCACAAGCAGCTGGGGTCACCGACATTCAGTGCTCGAGGCCAGGGCAGCGCTGCTCATCGGAGTCGTCTCCACCATGCGCCCCCCAAATGCCAACAGCACTCTGACGAGAGGGAGAGACTCCGAGCATCATTCCATCGAGTTTCCTCTTTCCTAAGCTCATTTTCAAATAACATCTTTAAAAATGCCCTCGGGGGAAGGCAGCGGGGAGGACCCCGCCTTCTGTCCCAGCGCAGAGACCCGGCCGGTCCCGCGGGGCGCACAGGCGCAGGAACGCAGGGCCGGGACTGGGTTCACAGATCCCCCCGCACCCAGGGTTCACTCCCAGCCATGGCTGCCCCGGCCCCGCGCTCGCCAGGTCCCCCGCGCGCGCTCCCAGACGCACGGGCGCGGGAGCCCGCGTAGACACTCCACCGCTCCGGGGTGCCCAGCCGAGTCAGGTGCGGACGCCGATGGCGCCAGGCCTGACCCAGAGCGGACGGAGGCCGGGACCGCCCCGCACGCGCGCTCACCTCGGCTCGCGGCGCCGGCTCCGGGCGCACTTCCGGGAGCTGGGCGGCTGCGCGCGCCTCCGGCGACCGGCGAGCGACGTGCGGCACTGGGCGGAGCTAGGGGCGAGGGCGGGGCTGAATCCGTGGTTCCTATTGGCCGTCGGGGAAGCCCCGCCCCTCTCGGCCGCCGCGGCCGTGCAGGTCCCGAGCCGACGTCACCCTCCGTTCCTGCCGTCACTCACTCACTGCCCCTGAGTGTCTTCCTTGCTCACCGTCATTTGCTGCCCGCCTTTTCTGTGCCAGGCACTCGGCCAAGCACTGCGAGGCCTTCAAAGAGCATTTGTCTCTCGCGAGCCCTTCCTCCCGGTCCCACACCCAAAGCTGCAAAGCTCTGCCAGGATCCCTGCTTCTTCTTTTTTTTTTTTTTTTTTGAGACGGAGTTTCGCTCTTGTTACCCAGGCTGGAGTGCAATGGCGCGACCTCGGCTCACTGCAACCTCCGCCTCCTGGGTTCAGGCAATTCTCCTGCCTCAGCCTCCTGAGTAGCTGGGATTACAGGCACGTGCCACCATGCCCAGCTAATGTTTTGTATTTTTAATAGAGACGGGGTTTCACCATGTGGACCAGGATGGTCTCGATCTCTTGACCTCGTGATCCACCCGCCTCGACCTCCCAAAGTGCTGGGATTATAGGCTTGAGCCACCGCGCCCGGCGGATCCCTGCTTCTTAACCGGCACCTTTCTCCACCTTTCCGTTCTTTCCTCATTTGGCCTCCCTGAGGCATTTGATTTGCTCCAAGCTTCTTTCTCTGTCTTGATTCTCCCGCGCTCACAAGCTCTGCAGCCCCTGGGTCCTCTCCCACTTCTCCCCATTCCGTTGGGGCTAGTCCAATGTGGTCTCGTCCTCTTTCCATCTGCCTCTTCCTCTCCCTCTCCGCAAATGTCATCCGTGACTCTTCTCCTTCCCTTTCCCACATACCAACAATGAGACACCTCACCCTCTCTCCCTTCTCTCTACCCCTCCCTCGGCTTAGCTCCACACCTTTCTTAAGTGAGAAGGGTAAGGCCTTCTTACCCTTTCCCGAGCGTCCAGTCTTGCTGGTGTCCCATCCTGTTCTGGGCCGCATCAGTCATCTTGCGATACTAAGTTGCATTAATAGAAGTATGATGTCAAAGTTCGGGCGTTCCATCTTGCACAACTGGCAGAGAAGAGGGTATTCGAAAAGAAAGAGCTGTCAAGTTCCCCCATAACCTACGGAAATAAATAATAAAAATTTTAAAAAGAGTTGTCTGTATGGTGATGTGTCCTATCCCTGTCCCATGTTTAGAGGAATTGAAGACATCGCCTCTGGAGAAATAAAGCTTGGTGCAGGGAAGGGATTATATCCTCATGTACCTGAAAAACTGACCAGCGGAAAAGGGATTTGACATGTTCTCTTAAGTCCCAGGGGCTGAACAAGATCCCATGTGTGAAACTACTGTTTCAGTCTGACCTAGTGGAAGTTTCTAGTCTTTTTTTTTTTTTTTTCTGTTTTTTGAGACGGAGTTTCACTCTTGTCACCCAGGCTGTAGTGCAGTGGCCCAATCTGGGCTGACTGCAACCTCTGCCTCCGAGGTTCAAGTGATTCTCCTGCCTCAGTGTCCCAAGTGGCTGAGATTACAGGATCTGCCACCATACCCTATTTTTTTGTATTTTAGTAGAGACAGGTTTCTACTAAACCCAGGCTGGCCTTGAACTCCTGACCTCAAGTGATCCTCCACCTCGGCCTCCCAAAGTGCTGGAATTACAGGTGTGAGCCACCACACCCCGCTGGAAGTTTCTAATATTCATGTGATTGATGGTGCTGCCTTGAGTTCCCAAGGACAACATGGCTAACAATTTACCAGGCACATTTAGAGGGACACCTTCATTGGGTGTTGCCTCCAACATCAATGTACTTTGCTTCCAACAAAGTCAAGAGATAAGGTGGTTTGGAGGGGAAGATTATATGAGTTTTATCTTCAATGTGTTCAATTTTAGCTGATCAACATCCACGGAAGATAACAATAATTCAAAACCATTAATTGGGTTTTCACTCCTTTGTGAATCTGACGGAAGCTAAAACTTTTCCCAAGGAAAATGCACATACACATCTACATAAAACACTTTGCACTCAAATTCAGGGAGCTAACAGAGTCCCGAAAGCCATCCTTGGAACCCACAAACCTCAGGTGGAGAACTCTAATCCCAGTAGGTGGTTCCGATATGCAAATGACACTTTAAAGTTTAATAATTTCTTTATAAACTGGCACCTTAGGAAAAGACATAAACACTTCTTTTGGAACAGGCTGAACAACCAAAAGATTTTTTAAAATAGGGAGATACCTACCTCAGCTTGGGAAATAATTCAAAGGTGTCATCTAGTTCTATTATTCCACTCACTCATTCAATAAATATTTACCAGATGATGTGCCCAGCACTCTTCCAATAGCTATGTAAACAAGAATGAACTAAACACACAAAGTCCCAGCCCTCTCAGGACTTATATTTTGTAGCATGAACTGGGCAATAAATAAACACACAAGTAGTAAATACAGGTGTTATGAAGAAAATTACACTGGGGTAAAGAGGAGAGGTAGTGTTAGAGATGGAGGGCAAGTTATATGGGAATGTCGGGGAAGGACTAACAGACAAAACAGCCTTGAACGCAGACCTGAAGTTAAAAAGCAAGTCTTGCATATATCTGTAGGAACCTCCAGGGAGAGGAAATTGCAAAAGTTGTTTTTGTTGTTGTTGTTTGAGACAGAATCTTGCTCTGTGCCCAAGGCAGTGCCAGAATCTCAGTTTACTGCAACCTCGGCCTCCCAGGTTTAAGTGACTCTTCTGCCTAAGCCTCTTGAGTAGCTGAGATTACAAGTACTTGCCACCACGTCCAGCTACTTTTTATACTTTTAGTGTAGAGATGAGGTTTCACCATGTTGGCCAGACTGGTCTCAAATTCCTGACCTCAGGTGATCTGCCTGCCTTGGCCTCAAAGTGCTGGGATTATAAATGTGAGCCACTGAGCCCACCCCATCAATGTTTAAACCCTAAGACAATGAGTGACAATAAAACGAAGAGATAAAAAGACTGAGCCCTGGACCAAACCAACATACAGGGTCAAGGAAATAAGAAAAATCTGTCAAAGGAGAAAAAGATTAAGGAGCTACTGAGGTAGAAGAAAAACGGAGAGTGCTATCTGGGAAGCCAAGGGCATAAAGTGTTCAAAGAAAGAGAAAATCATCAGCCAGGCACAGTGGCTCATGCCTGCAGTCCCAGTACTTTGGGAGGCCGAGGTGGATAGACCACAAGGCCAGGAGTTCAAGACCAGCCTGGCCAAGATAGTGAAATCCCATCTCTACTAAAAATACAAAAATTAGCTGGGGCTGGTGGTGGGCTCCTGTAATCCCAACTACTTGGGAGACTGAGCAGAGAATGGCTTGAACCTGGGAGGCGGAGGTTGTGGTGAGCCTAGATCGCACCACTGCACTCCAGCCTGGGCAACAGAGTAAGACTCAATCTCAAAAAAAAAAAAAAAAAAAAAAAAAAAAAACAAAAAAAAAACAGGGAATTATCGACTAATCAAATGCCATGATCAAATGTAAGATGAGGATTAAGCATTGACTATTTAACAACAGGAGAGTAAAATCAATGGTGACCTTGACTAAGAGTGATGGGGAGTATAGAAAGCCTGAATGGAACAAGGTGAATGAGGAACTGGAAGAGAAGAATGACCACAGCAAATAGAGACTGGTCATTCAAGAAGTTTTGCTATAAAAAGAAATAGCAAAATGAGACAATTAGGAGATATTACAGCATGCTTAGACGCTGATTAGAATGATCCAGCAAGGAGGAAAAACGTATATGGAAGGTGCGAAAGTGGCAATTACTGAAAAATGTTCTTGAGTAGAGGAGAGATTGATTTTTGAATAACAAAGTGCCTGGGTACTCACGTAATCTAGGCTGTGTGGAATACCCACAGAAAACAATCTCCACTTTAAAGGAGCTTAAAGTCAAAAGTTAAAGCCACACCAAAAACAGTTCCTCAAACAGAGAAAATGGGGAATGGAGAGGTGTTGATCAAAGGGTACAAAAGGTCCAGTTAGACCAGAGGAAGAAGTTTTAGCATATTGCAGTGTGGTAACTGCAGTTAATAATAATGTGGCTGGGCATGGGGGCTGATGTCTGTAATCCCAGCACTTTGGGAGGCCGAGGCAGGCAGATCACAAGGTCAAGAGATCGAGACCATTCTGGCCAACATGGTAAAACCCTGTCTCTACTAAAAACATACAAAAATTAGCTGGATGTGGTGGTACGCACCTGTAGTCCCAGCTACTCGGGAGGCCGAGGCAAGAGAATTGCTTGAAGCCAGGAGGAGGAGATTGCCGTGAGCTGAGATCATGCCACTGCACTCTAGCCTGACAACAGAGCAAGACTCCACCTCAATAATAATAATGATAATATATATTTCAAAATCACTAAGAGAGTAGATTTTAAATGTTCTCACCACAAAAAATAAGTAGGTTAAGTGATGAATATGTTAATTAACTTGATTTAAACTTTTACAATGGATACCTATAACAAAACATCACATTGTACCCCATAAATATATAATTATTATTCATCAATTTAAAATAAAAATAAATTTTAAAAACTCTATTATAAATGACAATCACTAATTACCAAAAAAATGAAAGCACTTGCACTCCCAAATTCAGAGATAATAGAGCAATCTGAAAGATATTTCAAAATAAAAATTCTGAGTTGTCCAAAGAGGTTTAAAAAAAAAAAAAAGCAAAAGCCATAGACCAAAAAAACATTGTGGGGGAAAAAAGAAGAAAGAAGGAAAAGATGAAAGGTGGGAGAGAGAAAACAAAATAAAACTGCAGGATCAAGTCTTTTTCTTACAAACTACAAGATAGTAACTTTTTTTAATTAGAAAAAAAATAGTCTAACACCCATGGGAATCAGACATGGTGAATATCTTTGTTCCCATTGTAGAGATAAGAAAATCGGCCAGGCGCGGTGGCTCAAGCCTGTAATCCCAGCACTTTGGGAGGCCGAGGAGGGTGGATCCCAAGGTC